TCTGCTGAACAAATAATTGCAATATAACCAGTTGTTGAATTGTGCTGGATATAATAAAAAAATGTGGTGAATTGGGATTAATTTTATATTAAAAAACGGGTGACTTGGGCCAATATTCTCAGTAAGGCTATTTGTTTAACAAATTCGATTTGGTACAGCCAAAAAAAAAAAGAAATCAAATTGAACTCAATACAATTTTTTTTGAACAAATAAAAAAATCAGGTAATCGGTGAGACCGGTTACCCAAAAAAGGGATTACAAAACCCTCGACTTAAATACTCCAAACAGTTTATGATTCAAACTCATTTCTCTCTTGTTATCGGCGGATCACACATTTATTCTCTCTATCAAAAATATCAAAGATCTCGTTTTTCTTATCAACTTTTGCTAATAATCACGCTCTTTTCTTCGTTTTTCCGACTATATATTCCGACCAAATTCTGAGAGCATGTTTGTTTATAGATTTTTTTTTTTGTTTGGATTTTTTGGTTTGGTTTGGTTGATTTTGAAAAAGGTGATATTGTTAGTTGTTAGTAGGTATATTAAAATAATATTCAAAATAAAATAATTAAAATGATTTGATATAAAAGTAGGAGAGATTGTTTGATGTGATGGTTAGTTAAAATAATGTGAGTAGACGAATAGTGAATTAAGGTTGATGCGGTATGTATGAAAAAAATTGATTGACATTATTTAATAATATTGATAATAATTGATGATAGTGGGGTTGAGTTAAAATGTGAGAATTTTTTTGAAAATTTCCATAAACAAACATGCTCGAATTTTTTTAAAAAATAGAAAATTTCAAACAAAATATAATATCAACCGCATTCTGATTTTACAATTTTGTTTTACTAAATTATAAAACGTGCAAATCGACTGATTAAATAACAAATTTATCAAGATTTGAAACTTTTTGTTTTGATTTAAGGTTGTCATCTCTATTTTTTTGCTAAAATGCTTCAATGAATCATAAGAAAATGGTTCAATAGGGCGATTATAATACCGATCTATCAAGATCTGCAAACTTTTTCAAGAACTTATGATTTTGTTTTTTGTAAAACCGTGTTTTTAAGTTATTATGCTCAAAAGACGATTTGTTATGTGTTATTTGTTAAACTTTTATTTCATTAATAATTTTATTTTTTATTATCTTACAGAAACCATGATAAAATCTGACTGGATATTGATATTTTTTAAATTTAATTTTGTAATTTTATTTCTTGTATAATTCTTTGCATCTAAAATGAGTATATATCAATGTTTACACGATTTCTGCCAGATAAAACAATTAAGGTGTACAATTTGAGGTAGAAAATTACTACACCTAATAAGTCTAAAATTATTGGAGGAAAATGAAAAAATAAAAAAAGCAGATATAGATATAAATGCATTATTTTAGTTGCAACATTCCTTCAATTAATATTACTATTAGACTAATTAAGGTGATGTAAGAATAATAATAATAATAATAATCTATATCTATATCTATATAAAAAGAATTACCATTTACTAAAAATAGTAGCAAAAATTTAGGAAGCATTTAATGCATATTATTTTTAGAAATTTTTGAAATATATTTATTAATTGCTTCTATTTATACGTTTTCAAATAAGATCAAATAACATATGATCAAATAATTACTTAAATAAATTTATTAATATATGCAGTATTTTTATTAATATTTATTATAATAAATTACAAGATTGATTTTCGTGATTCATGTTTATAATATTTTGGTCAACATAAATATTATTTTATTAATATTTGTAATACTTTCATTGATATTCATTATAATAAATTACAAGATTGATTTTTGTGATCCATGTTGATAATATTTTGGTCCAGATTAAACCATATTTTAAGTTCTAACCATAATATTAGTTTTTTTCTACAAATATTCACTTTTTATCTAAAAATATTTATGGAAAATCGTAACATGTTAGGTAGAATTTTTTTCCAAGTAATCAGATAAAATCAAGTGGGTGAATTAATCTTTGTCAATATATTTGTTTCTTAAGCTTTATTTTGTTAAATAGAAAAATTAAATCATTCTTCAAATTAATATAATTTACCATTTAAGATATAATGACCAGATACAATAAATAGTTTTACTAATAGTAAAAAAATTAAAATTGAAACATATTAACTATTGTTTAGAATTTATTTGTATATTATTGGCACCCATGATTATGTTTTTTCATTTTTTTTTATATTCTGATTAATTTCTATAACCAAATCTTGTAAAATATATTTTCATTTCTGAGTACACTAAATAAACTATAAATCCTTATAATGCGAATTAAAAAAATCTTGATCATAGAGGGGATCGAGATTTTGGGATTTTCTAAATCAAATTTGTTTAATTAGTATACAAAATTAAATTCTTAAAAAATATGTGTATATTTTGTAAAATATTTATACACTATTTAATATTAAATTTATTTACATATTTTAAACTGTTACATAAATAAATAATACCAACGTGCGTTAAATATTTTTCATTACATAAAATTAAAATAAAAAGAAGACGTACCACTTCTACAACTTTATAAATAGTAATGACATTATATGACATAAAGTGTATAATAAAATAACAATGAAGTATTATATGGTGAACAAGAATAAGTAAAATTGTTATTTTCTTTTATATCAAAGAATAAATATATATACTAAAATCAAATTTAAATTAGGATAAATGCGTTAGTGAAATAATATATTAATTATTTTAATATTTTGACTAAATAAATAACGTTGATTAAAAAAATATGCAAAATATATTATAACCTTATTGTTTATTATATTTAACGCTGGTTAAAAGAGATGAAAAATAGATGAGATCTCTATTGCTTTATATACTTAAGCGGACAAAACATGTGAAAATAACACATTTAATATTTCTGTCATGTGCAATGCACGGGGTGCGTACTAGTAATAATAATATAATATTTGTAACTGCTTTAGGCGGGAACTGAAGGTAATGTAATTAATGTTGAAAATTTTAGGCTGGATAATATAATTAAATGTGAGACAATATAATTTAATGCTTTGTTGCTCCAAATTATATATATATATGAGTTTGATGTTGAACACCATTAAAATAATTTCGAGTGGCTCAAAACTTACTTTTACACATTCCGCATCACATGTGACACTTCAAAAAAAAAAAAAAAAAAACATGATAGTTATATAAAATATGCCATAACTTACAATCTTCACATTCAAATTATGAAAAATTATAAAATGAAAATACAATGATTAAAATTAATCTAATATAAAATAATAAATATTAATTAAAAATGGTTGATAATTAAAATATCAAATGTGTAATAATATTATTTCAATTGTTAGGTGTGTAATAATATTATTCGGTATCTACTGGCAAAAATTAAATTTTTCTTATTAAATCTAATTAACAAAAAATGAATTATCATTTATCTTCATTATTCATATCTAATTAATTAGGCAAATGATTTTAATCATGTTAATATTGCATTATCTGCCCACAAATACTTAAATTATTCTCCTAATCTAACCTGTTGCCTTTGTCATATTATATTTTATTATAGATTTGTTACTAAATAATGATATTGATTATATTCAATATTTAGGATTTATTTTTTTTTTTCAAAAAATTGCAAAGTACGATTAGGCAAGTTTTTCGAAATTTGAAATTTAAATATAACAAATTCCATGATTTATGGTCGCATTAAATGCTGCTTGATTTTTTTATTAAAAAAATTAAAAAAAAATGGAATGTAATTAATATTCCCAAAATTTTTTGCTTACTATTTTTAGTAGATAGTAATTCTTATTATATATAGAGATATAGATTTACTTAAATAAAGCAATGGTAATATATAAATTTTGATAACTAAATTTACTAAGTTTCATTTTTTTAATACGACAAAAATAAGATAACCAATTTTAAATTTTATTTTTTCAAGTCAATAATTAACTTTTCTTTTATTCATATTTTTTTAGGCTTAATTGCCTCTAAAACCGCAACTTTTTATAGAATCGCAAATAAAACTCAATAATTTTTATCATTGCAAATAAGTACCAAACATTATGTGTTGTAAATTTGTCTCCGAAGAATTTTCCGACCAAGTCGAGCTGACGTGTTCAATTAAAAATCTTACGTGGCACGAAGAAGTCTTGCGTGGCAGCCTAATTTTTCCACGTCATATGCCAAAAATTTTATATTCATGCCACATCATATGACCTCACCCCCAATTTTGCCAAATTCTAAAAAAAAAAAAAAAACAATTTTATAACAAAATTCCGGTGATGTTCTATCCATTGATGGAATATTATTAAAAACAATTTTAATAACAAAATCAACTATCGGTCTCAAACTCATAGGAACGAACAAATACATTCTAAGTTATAATGTTCTATACTTCTATTCGGGTCTTTCATATGTTTTCTTCGGTTTTTTTTTTTAATCGATAATATTTTTATTTTTTTTGGTACAAAGAGAGATTATTGATCCCAAGCTACTACAGACTAACGTCTCGTGGGCAAGAGGCCCCTCGGGCATCATGGTCGATCCACGGAACAGCACCGGACGGTGGGTCTGAAAGCCAATGGCATCCAAGAGAGACCGAAGCCGCATAAAACGCTAGGTAGTTTGCAGCAAAGTTGGCCTCCCGAAATATGTGAGTAATCAATAATATTTAAAACAACTTTATAGTGGTTTCAATGGTCAAAACTCAGTTAATAAGGCAATTCAAATCGGGCAAATTGGGAGACATTTTAAAAGAGTGGGGGAGGTAACAATAGTAGCAACAAAGGCAACCCAAAAAACTAAAATGCATAACAAGAAAAACAAAACTAAAGAAGAAAAGAGCACACCCATGAGCAGTAACCATAATAAGTTATGAAGAGCAGCAAAAGTATGTTCTTGACATCAACATTACTGCAAACATCAACCACCCACCAAAAGTTCCCCATAAATGAGAACAGAGAGATTTGAAAAAGAAGAACAAACTCCAAACTCAATTCTTGTCGGTCATCGCGCCCATCCATGCCGGTGGCAACATCCCAGTCTGCTCCTGCACAGTCTTGAACAACGGCGGCAGCATCTTGTAAACTCCGGCAACTTCCTTCATAGCATCAGTACCACCAGCTTCTCCCTGGCCATGGCCGCCGTTAGTCCATATGCTAATCTTGGGCTGCAGCCCATGCACAGCCTGAGCATTGATCTTGGCCACCTCCTGAAACATGCCACCACTGATCATCAAGTAGTCCCTTAGGGCCGCATAGTCACCGCCCATTGCATCTAGAAGGGTGCGTATGTAAGTCCCCTGGGCCTCGGCCAGGGCCTTCAGCCCCTCGGCTTCCTTCAGCTTCGCGTAAAAGTCTCCATCCACTTTCTGTTTCCGCCCGAAAAAGGCTGCCTCGGCTGCGGCTTTCTGGGCCTCGGCTTCCTTCTCCTTTTCGTATAGGTATGCCTCGGCAGCCTTTTGCTTCTTGTACAGCTCCCAGTTGGCCTCTTGCACCTGGTTTTTTAGGATGGAAAACAGGATAATCATGAAATTGTTCTCTTTCTCTTTTGACTCTCACACAAAGGCTCAAATTGTTCTACTTTTGGAAGAAACGGCCGCTTAAATAAGGAAAACAACACTTATAGTTCCAATTACCACAAACAGGATTCAGTTTATACAGAGAATATGAATGAACAAATAAGTAAGAAAAGAGGAAGAACCTTGGTCTCGTACTCGACGCTGGCTTTGCTCAGAAACTCAGCCTTGAGCTTCTCGGTCATGGTCAGCGCGTTCATTCGCTCAACCTCCTTCTGCAGCTCGGCGTCCCTGAGTGCCACCGCCTTGTTGGCCTCGACCTCCGCCACATGTGCCTCCTTGGCCCAGCCAGCCTTCTTCTTGGCCAGCTCTGCGTTGGCCTCGGCCACCTCCGCCTCCTTGAGGTTCTCAAACACCTTGACCGCCGTCCTGACCTTGATCTCCTCCTTCTTCCCATCTCCCTGCCGCTGCGTGGAAATAATCTTTGTTTCGGCGTCGATTTTGGCCGCGTTCTGCTGCGTCTGGCCGTCCCTCAGCTTGGATCCGATTTCCCCCTTCATCTTGGCCTCCGCCACGTCCACCCTGGCCTGATTCGCAGCCTCCATCTGCGTCTTCTGCCCTAGGTAAGAGAAATACTCGTGGCCGCGGACGTCGACGAGCTGCTTGACGTTAGCGTTGTAGATCCAGAGACCGAACTGGTTGAGCTCGAGCTGGACCTTCTCGAAGACCTCCTGCTTGAACTCCTTGGTGCCCCTGAAGATCTCCTCCATGGTCATGGAGGCGGCAAGGA